TTCGCAAATTCCAATTCTAATACTGGTACAATACATGCAGACAAGGTTACCTCCGTGATCCAGAATTGGAACCTCAAATTCGATGGTTCATCAAACGGATTGCATGTAGAAGAGTTTCTGTATCGTATTAAATCATTAACCAGGGATACATTCAATAGTGATTTCACTATTATCTGCAAGAACTTGCATATCCTCTTAACAGGAAAAGCCCGCGATTGGTACTGGCGGTACCATAAGCAGGTCCAATCTGTAAACTGGGATGATTTTTGTGATGCCCTGCGATGCCAGTATAGACAATATAAAAGCTCTTTTGATATCCGAGAGGAAATCAGAAACAGGAAACAAAAGCCTGGAGAGTCATTCGATTCCTTTTTCGATTCCGTATTGGCAATTATGGATCGTCTCCCGGCGCCCATGTCTGATTCTGAATTGATCGAAATACTAGCGAGGAATCTGCGTCCTGATATCCGCCAACTTATTATACGTTCCCATACACTCGATTTCACACTTACGAAAACTCGTACAAATGCGAGAACATTTCTTAAATGATGAGAGCGTTCGCAAAAATCTTTTTACTCGCAGCCAAAATCAGAATATGCCACGTAGATATCTATCTGAAATAGATTCAACGAATACTAGTGACAATGTTCACGAAGTTGAAGAGTTAGCTTGTTCTGTTGACGCTGTACAGGGTCATGAAGTTGTGGTCAAGTGTTGGAACTGCGATGAGGTAGGCCACCACTGGGAGAACTGCCTCAAAGACAGGACCATATTTTGTTATGGTTGTGGCAACAAAAATGTATATAAGCCTAACTGTAGCAAATGCGCAGCAAGAAAACTCAATAGTTCAAAAAACTATCGGCCGATAGGTCCTCCAAAGGACATGAACTAAGTCCTAATACAAAACAAAATTTCATTTCAATTAAAGTAAAGTCCAAATGTGACAAAGAAACTCTTACAGATTTCAAAATACCCTGCTATGACAATTTATCCCTTGTTTGTAACCAAACTGAAAAAATTACTCTGCTAGAACGTCCTAAAACCTATACCAATGAACCAAAACTTGAAATATCGAAACTTATTACACCAAAACTTCCATACCATGAAAGATTACAATTGTACATGCAAAAACGCAATGAAATATTTAACCTGTCTGAAATTACAGAATGTAAACCATCGAAATCTAAACGGTCAACTGTTCGTCTTAGAAAATATTACAAAATGCGAAACACTTGTCGAAAACTTCTTATTTCTGCTATTGTGTCAAATCCAAAGGATTTGCGTTATTACGCAAAAGTGAAGTTTTTGAATTTTGATGAATATGGTCTCCTTGACACCGGGGCCAATATTAGTTGTTTAGGTTCAGATTTAGCAGAGATTGACTTTTCGAAATTCCCAGGTTATACAAAATGTAAACATTACGTTAAAACGGCTGATGGTCATTTACAATCAGTTTGTGGATGGCTGGATGTAGAAATCTTCTTTAAAGATCAATCGAAAACCTTAAAACTTTTTATTATACCGTCGATATCTCAGAGATTGATTTTGGGAATCGACTTTGTGAAGTCCTTCGCTTTGTTTCCAGACATAGTTGGGTCTGTAGATATACTTACTTTTAATAATTCGTCCAACTCGTCCTTGTCCGATTTATCCGTTCTTTCAGGTAAGTCCGAAGTCCAGTCCGATAAAACAAATCAGTCTAAAACACCATTAGACGAAAATTCCTATCCACTTTCGCATAGCCAACGTTTGCAGCTTAACGCTGTCATTAACTTGTTTCCGAATTTTGAAAAACAAGGGTTGGGAAGAACCAGTCTTATTAGACACTCAATTGATGTTGGCAATGCCTCACCAATTAAGTCAAGGTTCTATCCAGTTTCTCCTGCGGTCGAGAAACTGATGTACGGTGAACTAGATCGTATGTTGGCACTAGGGGTGATAGAACCTTCCACATCCCCCTGGAGTTCACCTATGCGTTTGGTTTTAAAACCAAACAAGGTCCGATTGTGCCTAGATGCACGTAAGGTTAATGCTGTAACCATAAAGGATGCATATCCGCTTCCAAATATTGAGGGAATATTCGCAAGGCTTCCAAAGGCGAATATCATAACGAAGCTAGATCTGAAGGATGCCTATTGGCAGATTGCCTTAGATGACAAGTCCAAAAGTCTGACAGCATTCACAGTCCCGGGTCGGCCACTCTACCAGTTTGTAGTTATGCCGTTCGGGCTGTGTAATGCTCCACAGACTATGTGCAGACTTATGGACGAAATCATTCCTCCGGACTTAAGGCACTGTGTCTTTGGGTATTTGGATGATCTAGTTATCGTTTCAGAAGATTTCGAAACTCATCTTGAAATACTAGTACGTATAGCCTCGCAATTTCGAAAAGCTAATCTCACGTTAAACATATCTAAGTCCAAATTTTGCGTAACATCGGTAAACTATTTAGGATTTGTGATAGGAAACGGGGGAATTACAACGGATCCCGAAAAAGTTCAAGCGATAAGAGATTGGCCCACTCCCAAAAACTTAAAACAAGTTCGCGGTTTTCTTGGATTGGCGGGGTGGTATCGTCGTTTTATTGAAAATTTCTCAACGGTCGTTTTTCCAATCACGGAGTTGTTATCGACGAAAAAGGTGTTTAAATGGACAGAAGAAGCCCAGAAAGCATTCGAAAATGTTAAACTCTTGCTCACCTCCGCTCCTGTCTTGACAAACCCGGACTTCCGAAAGAAATTCTTCCTTCATTGTGATGCTAGTGATTTCATACATTGCATACATGAGTAAAAAGTTAAATTCAGCACAACGAAATTACAGTGTCACAGAGAGGGAATGTTTGGCTGCAATGGAAGCTATCAAGCGATTCCGGTGTTATTTGGAAATGCAGGAGTTCGAGGTGATCACAGACCACTCTAGTTTACTGTGGTTAATGCGGCAACCAGACCTCAGTGGCCGGCTTGCAAGATGGGTGTTTAAGCTGCAGTCCTATAATTTTTCAATTAGCCATCGTAAGGGCAAAGATAATGTGGTCCCCGATGCATTATCACGGATTCCAGTAAACGAAGTTGCTGCCTTAGAAATAATTGAACCAGAGATTGATCTTGAATCTCCCTATTTTTCAGATCAAGAATATTTAAATCTGATACAAAAGTACAATGAAAATTCAGCGAAATATCCAGATATAAAAATCCTAGATAAATACATTTATTATCGAACCGAGCATTATAATGGCAACGAAAACCAAGAGCAGTTGTGTTGGAAACTATGGGTACCAGTAAGACTACGTAGAGATACTATCTCAAGAGCGCACGATACGCCTGTGAAAGCACATGGTGGGATGGTGAAAACACTGGAGCTATTAAGGAGAAACTTCTTTTGGCCTGGAATGGTCCGAGATGTTCGCAATTATGTTCGACAATGTGAAATCTGCAAAACCACAAAAGCCCCTAACTTTGTAATGAAGCCACCAATGGGTAATCAAAGCGTTTCCATTCGACCATTCCAGCGCCTATACATAGATTTACTGGGCCCATACCCACGCAGTAAATCCGGCTACATTGGCCTCTTAATCGTGTTGGATCACTTTAGCAAATTCCATTGGCTTTGCCCCTTAAGAAAGTTTACGTCGAATCTAATCCAAGAGTTCTTACAAAAACACATTTTTCATGTATATGGCGTACCAGAGTTCATTGTCAGTGATAATGGGAGCCAATTTCGCGCCAACGATTTTAACGCTTTTCTGACGGTCAACGGAATCAATCATACTTATACAGCGTTATACTCCCCCCAATCCAACGCATCGGAACGTGTCAACCGATCTCTTATCGCTGGAATTCGAGCTTTTTTAAAGACTGATCATCGTCTTTGGGACGAAAAGCTCAGTGAGATCAGTTGTGCCCTTCGTAATTCCTACCACCAGTCCATAAATACCTCACCTTTTTATGCTTTGTTTGGATTTAATATGATTACGCACGCTACTTCATACAAACTACTACGTCAGGTAAAACTTCTAGATGAACCCTCGGCAAATATTGCCCATGCAGATAATCTTCAAATTGTACGGGAGAATATTCGAAGATCGATTAAAGAAGCACATGATCGGAATACTCACCAGTACAATCTTCGATCAAAACCCCAATCTTTTCAGGTAGGTCAGGAAGTATTTCGGCGAAATTTTGTCCAAAGTAATTTTGAAAAGCGTTTCAACGCAAAATTATCACCTCTTTTTATTAAAGCACGAATCAGGGAAAATGTTGGAAACAACTATTACATATTAGAAGACCTTCAGGGAAAAATAATAGGAACCTATCATGGAAAGGACATAAGACCATAAACTCCCTTTTTTCCATTCAATTTTACATCGCATTGCTCTAAAATTGCTTGGTTTTGTAATGGTCATAGTCAAACAATGTTTGTTTTTCTTTTGCTTAGTAAATTTATTTCATTTGGAAATGGTGTTGTTCATAATATCCAGAGAAAAAAAAAAAATTTGCAGTAGTGCAAAGTGAATGTAATTTTCATGACTTTTCTGAAAACAGTGCTAATACAACTCCTTCTAAATGCATTCCTAAATGTAACAATAAAAATTCAACTAATTTCATTAAAACGTCAAAACTTAATTCAGATTGTTGATTTAAGCAAATGAGATTTATGTGTTATTATAAATAATTTTGAATATTAATAATTTTCAATATTTATTATATTTTCCTGTAAACCATTTAAAATGTGTTTCGAAAATATATACAAATAGTTTGAACCCATGAAACATCGATTTCGAGTCATCGAATTTGCATTAATTCGATTATTCGAAATTCTCGAATAAACACATGATCTCAAATGACAAGCTAATGTTAAAATTATATTATGAACCACTTCATCAACACTTGCATATCTGATTAAATTACATCGTTGTCATGTAACTTTTTGCTGGGACAAAGAAATCACATATTCGTGATTAACAAACAAAACATTTACCAAAGGCATTTAAAGCAAAAACATTATGTTCTTTGTTTTTATTTCCAAAAAAATATCACTTAAAATGTTAGTTTCTATCAGAATTTTATCAGCATGTACAAAAATCCCATCAGTAGATTTCGTGGCCCCTGAACTGAAAATCATAAAAGACAATTAACTTAGTTAATGGTCATTAGCAAAACTTAGAATAACAAGTGTTTACAAACCTTATAAAAGAGTAATTTTGCTGAATAGAGTCAACATTAAGAGTTTCATTGGTTTGTTTAATCAATTAATTATTATTTGTATTAAGCAAGATTTTTTTTTATTTTATAACATTATTGTTGGACTTTGCATCTTTAAACATATGTATTCAGCTATTTTCTTTTGATCTTGTTTTATCTTAATATCTACTGTTCATCATTCTTGCTGTGGTATGTTTAATAACAGATGCACTGCATTATCATTCATATCACTTTTAGTTTTGTCATGCATGGAAAAATATGTCTTGATATACAGTCAATCAATTAAATAAATTAAAATAGAAATTATAATTACAAATTGAAAGGAAAAAGAAAATAATAAAAACTAGAGATTTTACTTAAATAATCTTACTACGATTTTTTTGTTACAATCTCAACTACTTAATTTTTTAATATTAAACAAATTTCTGGTGATTTTTATTCTGGCGATTTTAAGCACTAATATGCAAAAAGTGATATCCACAAAACGATTTAATACTATTTCTATACAACAGTATTTTTGCACTCTTTCTACCATTCTTGATCCCGTTTTAAGATATTTCTAGAACCAGAATTTACTTTTGATTAATATTGGATTGGCGTCTTTCTTTTGGCTTTTTGACTTCAACCTATTAAAACCTAAAACGTGCTAAGTGATTTTGAAGAAATTATAATTTTTACAAAAAGTGTATAAAGTGTTATAGTTAACAACTTAAATTTAAATTTCAACAAGTGAAAATATAATAATCCAGATATCGGGTAATATTTCTTATTGAATGTAATTCTATTTCGAAATGAAATGAATTTAAACAAATTTTATAGAAAATTTGCCTAAAAAACTGTACTGGACCACGTTTCACTTTCAAGTCCCGTTGTTATATAACTGTACTGGACCACGCTTCCTTTCTCAAGTCCCGTCGTTACATAATAGGCATACTTGCCTGGGACTTGGAAATAACAGTTGGAAATTTTAGTGTCTATATTGTTCGTCTTGGAAAGATTAGGTAACTATATTATATGGCATAATATAAAAATTTCTAAATTCTAATGGGAAACAATTCTTATACATTAGATTTAAACGATTTAAACGACACATATCTCATGAAAAAGTGGTAACAACATCCAGCAGTATTCAACATTTCAACGTGATTTGTAACCAACTAAATACAAGAAAAAAAAAGTCAAAGGAAGAATTAGGCTTCAAGATAAATTCGGAAAAGTAGCAAAAGCTTGGAAGCATCTTCAGAAAAGTTTGCCAAAAGTCCAGTAATCAAAATCTAACAATATAATTTAAATTATTTAACAAAATCCTAAATATTACATATCCAATTCCAATCTAACTTAAATTTTAAAATCACATTTCATACATATTGAGATAACCTAAATTTTTGAAAATGGTTTCTTAAAAACTAAAATAACTCAACCAAAACTTAAAATCATTCGTAAAAAAACTAAACTAATCTAAACAAATCAATCCAAAATTTCTTAATTTTCTAATAATTTAACATGAAAATTCTAAAAGTTTAAAAACAAAACTCATATTTTCAAAATTATTAACTTAACCTAATATCACAATTTATTTCTTAAAAACTAACTTTAAAATGTAACATAACAATGTAAAATCTTCAAAATAAGTTCTTAGAAAATTTACAATTTGATAACAACATGAAATGAATTAAACAGGCTAAATATTGCACCAAAAATAAACAAAATGTTAAATCAAATTATAGTTTAGGCATGATGAAAACTTTTGAATTTTGAAGATTTTTTCTTTAGACTTGAAACCTTAATGAAACATCACAGATCTAAAATCTAATTAACCTATGTAAAGAAAATTGTATTAAATTCTCTTTACTCTTAAAACCTAGTATTGCACAATATTTATATTTAGTTATTATATTCTAATACTAACCTAAATGGCAAACTATAGAATAATGCAAATCAAAATTTAATTTACTCATTCAAAAAGAAGTCATCAAAACCACATCAACGAATTATTGCTGGAGGCCTTCATCAAGTCGGTGTGATGCGGTAAGTCAGTTAAAACATTTTTTTTATTATTATTAGTTTTGCATTATCTTTAGTAAGAAACAACATTCAACATAAGGCAATGCAGAGTATCATTATGTTAAATAACAGTGTTCATTATGTTATTGCTTAATTAAACAGATCTCTTTTGCAAATTATGTTTACTCTTGAATTAAATCTCTTTGTGATAACTAACACTTACTTGTTGAATTTTGTTTCTTAGTTTTCTTTTGTTTTGCCAAAAATTATTACTCTTTAAAACAAGAAAGATATTTGTAATTTAAACCTTTATGAACCTTATGCTAAGATTTTGTCTTTGCGGAATATGAAACATATAGTTTATTCTTTCATTATACTTCTATTGAAAGTTAATTTAAATAGTTTCTAATAGAACATTATATTTAAATTTTGTCTATATTCTAATTTATTAATATGTTTAATGGGCTGAATAAATATTTTGTAAAATGGAATGCTAATTTAAAATTTTCGGGTGTTTTCTTCAAATGGATCGAATAGTTTAATGTATAGTTGAAAGTTTAAGTTCGGGATTTCTTTAATTTGCCTAGGAAATTATGGAAGGAGAGGGTTTTGAGGCCGTATCTCAATCAACATCATCTAGAGATACATATTTAAGAGTAATCGGTTAACATCCGCACCTTTTTTTTTTACTTTCAACATGACTAGATGAGGGGCAAAATTCGATGGTATTCATAAGTCTAGTTAGTCTGGTCCTGACACCTTTTTTATCACTCACAAAATAGGGAGTCTATAATAACAAGTGTAATTGAACATGCATTTAGATAGGGAAGGACCGAACCACCCCAAACCGACTGTTGCTAGCAACATAAAGGCTCCCGCAGTCCTCTCTCTACTGAATAGCCCATACCCAAAACGAGTCAATTTGTGTTCACAAGTTAATTCTGATTGGAGTTATTTCTCGTGTGTTTATGTGTATTTGCAACATTTTCACATAGAGCTTTGATTTGTACATTACAATGTTCGATTTATTTGTCAAATATTTTTTTGAGATTTTCGGTTATTAATCAGATAATTGAAATTTATTAATGTTAATCGTATAAATGGAATCTGTATGTTGTTTTATTAATTTTATTGCTTTTTACAATAATTTTATTTCTTTAACAAACAAAATTATAATTTTCCACTTGGAGTTCAACTCTTTGTAATCATACCCTCCACCACCATCAGTGGTGATAGAGGGTATATATAAGTTTGTCGTTCCGTGTGTAACACCAAAAAATATTCATTTAAGACCCAACAAAGTATATATATTCTGGGTCCTTATCAAATTCTGAGTCGATTTAGCTATGTCCGTCTGTCTGTGTAAAACACGCTCAAGTTAAAACTAAGCAAAGGAAATCAACCAAATTTACCCAAAATATTTATTATTATCCTAAGCAGTTTGGTATTGAAAATCAGCAAAATCGGTTCACAACGTAAAAAGTTATGAGTAAAAATTTCAGACTACCTCGAAAAAATTACGTTTTTTTCATAATTCTTTTGAAGTTTTCTAAGAAACTACCAAAGATATTTCGATGAATTTTGTCACACATTATTTTTTTAGGGCAGTGATCAATTATATTCAAAATCTTTCTAATCGATCCAATATTTTCCATAGCCCCCATACAAAGGTATATATTCCCAGAAATTAGTTTATCGTTTATAACTCCCTCAAATATATCGGTATCAACACAAAATTTTGTACATATAAATATAATATGAACAGAAATCATACTGTCAAGGTAGATCTCAGTCGGTCTACAATTGGTATTAGCTCCCATATAATCCACTTCCGAAAATCACTTCTACGCATATATTTCATTGAATTCTAAAGCTATTGGGATAAAATTCGACTTGAATATGTTTTGTGTACGTACAAATCATTTTACAAATTTTTTACGGGTCGGTCCATTATTGGTCATAACTCCTATATAAGGCCCACTTACGAAAATCACTTAGAAGCACATATTTCATTATCAAATAAAGCTATCTTGATAAAATTCGACACAAACATGTTTTGTCCAAATATGAATCACTCTGCGAAATTTTTCCCGAATAGGCCCATAATTGGTCATAGTTCCCATATAAGGTCCACTTCCGAAAATCACTTACACGCATATATTTCATTGAATTCTAAAGCAATAGGGGTGAAATTCGACTTGAATAAGTTTTGTGTACATATGAATCATTCTACCACTTTTTTCTCGGATTGGTCCATTATTGGTCATAGCTTCCATATAAGGTCCACTTCTGAGAGTCACTTAAACACACATATTTCATTGTCAAATAAAGTTATCTCGAAAACATTCGACACAAATATGTTTTGTCTTTACATAAATCACTCTACGAATTTTTTTCCGGATAGGCATATAAAACATTCTACCAAATTTTTTCTGGATCGGTCCATATTTGGTAATAGGTCTACTTCAAAAAATCTCTTAAACGCACACATTTCATTATCAAATAAAGATATCTTGATAAAACATGATTTGTGCACATATGAATCACTCTGCGAAATTTTTCCGGATAGGCCCTTAATTGCTCGTAGCTCCTATATAAAGTCCACTTCCTAAAGTCACCTAAACGCACATATTTCATTGATTAATAAAGCTATTGGAGTAAAATTAGACTTGATCTTTTTCTGCATATAAATCATTATACGAAAATGTTTCCTGATCAGTCCATAATTGGTCACAACTCCCATATAAACACCATTTCTGAAAATTACTTAAACGCACATTTTATACATAGATATAAAATTTGACATAAATGTGTATTTTCTATATATGTATATAAATCATTATATGGAATTTTTTGCGGACCGGTCCATAAGTTGTCTTAGCTCCCATATAAGGTTAACTTCTGAAAATCACTTAATAACACTTAATTGGTTATTAAATTATTAATTAAAATTCGACATAAGTATGTTCTGTGTATAGATAAATCATTCTATTAAAATGTTTTCGAACTGGCGTATTAATATACATTTTTCTGGACCTAATCAAAATTATTTCGACAAAAATTTTGGCAAGTTATCTAAAAATTAGATAGTTAGATGGGTTTCAATAAAAAGTAGCTTGCTGGTGAGGGTATTTAAGATTCGGCATAGCCGAATATAGCACTCTAACTTGTTTTTCTTTTAATTATGTAAGTTTTTCTCAGATTTTAGAAAATATTTGTTTTCTGTGTAAAATTTTTCTATGTAAAAAATAAGTTAATTTGTGTTTTTTCAACTAGTTCCAAGAAATTGTTTTAGAACCCATACGTTTCAATGAACTAGTGTACAACTATTGCCGAAGAACTTCTTAGAAATACTTAAAGCCCACTTCACACTAGCATACTTTACGTATGTATGTAAAGTTTAATGGACAAGTAAAATTAAATTCCATCCGTATGATAAAAAAGAGAATAAAAATTGTACCATCAGTATTTTCTCCCAACGTGTGATGGTTTCATTTACATTTTGCGCTTAGACGATCCCATCCTTACTCTTTTCTTTAAATTTTTGACAGATCTTACTACTTGTGTGCTCGTATAAACTAGCTTTTAAGAAACACAAAACTCTCTCAAAACTGGTTCTAGAAGTAAAGGCGATATTATTATTTATAAGTTTTTGTTTCGACGATTAATCATTTACATAAGCTAGTATAGACTCTTTAGACCAAATTTATTTGCTGAATACACTCCTCGAATATAAATAATGGACTCGGTTATGTTGATATTGGACACAAACATTGATTGTGATTTATTGTCGCTGATTTGTTATCGGTGAAAACTATGTTAATAATTGACAGATACCGCCAAAGCAACATAACTACACTTATTGAAAAACCATTTATGTATGTAAATGTGAAATTGTCTCATTTTACAAATTTATCGCTAAGTTTTGAAAAAATATTTTTTTAAATGCGAGGATTGATTACAGATACTTATTAAGGAATGTTCAACGATTGCAACAATGAAAATCTTTTAGGCTACAATTGTTTCCAGGTATTCAAATATTTCAGAGGTTTCCGAAGAAGGCACAATTGATTTTATTCTAATTATTCTAATACGTAAACATATCTGAATTAGAAATTATATGGACAATTTCTTGAAAAGGTAAATCACGACTGAAAAAAATAAACAGTTTTAAATCAAGTATAAATCAAGATAATGAGTAATCAAGGTGATGTAATTATGTAATGCATTACCTGGTAATGAGTAAGCTTTATTAATAACATTATTTGATTTTTTTTAATAGGATTTGAAGTCAATTATTTAGAGCATCTGTTCAATAGAAAATTTTGTGGTTAGAATCCTAGTTGATATCAGTAGTTAAAACTATTCCAAAATAAACTATAAAATAACTTGTTAATGGAGCACTGAGTAAGCCTATTGACT